TAGAAAGATGTAACTTAAACTAAAATCTCAATTCTGTTTTGATCGAGGCGCAGTTCATGCCTCTTATCTGTATTTTAACCGTAGAAAGTAAAGTGTCGCAATTCTTCCAAGGTACTTTCGGCGATCTGTGGTTAAAAAAAAAATTAAAGATTTTTAAAAAGTATTCATCCGAAAAAAACTTAAGAAAATCTTGCGCAGCCCGTTGCAGTTTTAAGCTCACCTCTCGCAATTCCAGATTGTCATCGTCAGCTAACTCTTCAATTGCTTTTTTTATATCTGTACACCAAACACTTTGTAAACCGCGCAGACTAAAGCGCGCCAGCAAGCGAAAAAGCATACACATGCGCATGCGTATCAAGTCATCAGCATTGCCAAGCAACGCCACCATATTTAATTTGCTGTTGAATATGACTTTTTCCACCAAATCCGCATTTTCTGGCAACTCACGCAATACGCATATTAGCAGACCCAATATATTAGTCGAAATGCGCACAGCGTTCGCGTTTCGGAAATCTGAAAACCAAGCGTTTGTAACCAATATGTACGTATATAAATATATTGCTGTTCTACCTACCATGTTGCAACAAATTAATCAGCAATTCATTCGCTGCCAAAATGGCAACTGCATCACAGAACTGCGAGAGAAATTGCTGCTTCAAATGCACTAGATGACATATCAATTCGTACAGACGCGAAATGGTGCGTATTTCTTCGCAATTAAGTTCAGCCATGGAACGCACTGCACGCCCTCCATGTGAATGCGTCAACGAGGCGCTCGAATCGCCGGTGCCTTTGTGACAAATCAGCAATTTAGAAGCATACATGAGATTTGGGACGAGCTTGACGTCGATATAGACCTTATAGCAATGCGAAAATTATTTAAACTTTACTTAGAACGGTGCGAGTATAGTATGAATATAGGCTCACATTTTGTATTAACTCAATAACGCATGGAGACTCATCAGATACAAAGGGCAACGATAAGAGCTGTGCAACACTATCCACCACTTTAGGTATAGCTTTTGAATTGCGTAACGGCGCCACTATGATGCTTACCTAAAGAGAAGGGAGGTGAAATGATCAGCAGAAAAAATAACGGTAGGTTTAAGCTACATTTTTTGAATCAAACGATAAATGTATTTACCAAATTGTGTTGCTTCAACGAGTCCATTTCACCGTCCAGCACTTCCTGCATTGTGCGATTTAAAAACGCCAACCACTCATCATTTTCAATAGGCGGACTTTGCGACTCGTCACATGAATCCCAGCCAGGCAGCAGACATGGTGGTGAATTTCTATAAAAAGTTATTTTAACATATTAAATTTACGTTATTTTAAAAGTTGTGTACCCAGTGCTGCGCTTCTCATCTGCCGAATGCATTATACTCTTGTTACACTTTTGTTCTTTTTCCTTATCCTTATCTTTATCTCTGCGCTCTACAGTTTTGCGTGGTTCGGAATCGAAGCCCTGTCCCAAGCGTAGCGAAAAATTATCCAAATTCTGACTCAGCTTACGTTTTTCCAAATCTTTGCTGCGCGATGCCTTAACATTTGTATTGGTAACCAAAGGTGTTTCTTGCAATTTGGTGCTTTCAGTTGGCGATTTTTTACTTTGCTGATGCGGCTGATGATGTGGCGGTGATGAATTTGTGTTTGCAGCATACATAAAATTATCGTTCATGTGATTGAGTATCATGTTTGTATTACCGCTGACAAAGCAGGTTTGCGAATTAATTACAGGCGCCGCAGCAGCAGCTTCCGTTACTATATTAAAATGAGGTATAATGATATCGACGTCATGGTTTTTGATAACTGAAGTATTCTTATAGGATTGATCAGCAAATGGAACCGTAACATTGTTAATGTTCTCTTCAACATCTGTTTCGAGATTCTCAATATCGCTTGGCGGTATTGCATTGATACTGTCACGTGAGGAAGTCATATTTTCGTTTGTGCAAAGAGAAGCGTTTGCGAGGCTCATTGTGGCAACTTGCTTCGAGATATCGTCCGTTTTGGAGCTGGAAATGCATGTAAGATAGTGTAATTTAGTAAAACAAGATATTCGATACGCGTTTAAAAATTATTCTACCGTTGGCTGCGAGAACATCTTGAGATCTTTTGTTTTTGTGGGTTTGTGAATGGTGAATTGTTAGCCTTGATGCCCGAGATGAAGAGTTTGCCTTCGACAAACTGATGACAAAGTATTTCTGTCCACGATATGCGCAATGAGGGATCTTTCTCCAACAGACCCTGCAAATAAATTTATTTTAGTATAAAATGCGCACTAATATGTGACTTTTTTAATTACCTGCAAAAAAGACCGGCAGTCGCTACTTAAAAAGGTTGGCCACTTCACCTCTTCATGTTTGATCAGCTTCACCAAGTGCAAGATAGATGTTGTGCAGAAAGGAGGCGCACCTGCCAGGCATTCATATGATATACATCCCAGCGACCATAAGTCCGCTTGGTGATCGTAAGGTTGCTCAGCTAACAACTCTGGTGCCATGTACAACGGTGTACCTTTTATGGAAGTCAAAACGTGTGTGCCCATAGTCATGTTGCGTGCCAAACCAAAGTCGCACAACTTGGCATGCAAATCCTCATTGAGCAATACATTTTGTGGTTTTAAATCTCTATGCAGTATACGATTCGAGTGCAGATAATAAAGCGCTGAAACTAAATGGCAAATGAGACGCTGCGCTTTATCCTCTGGCACAGCACCGTGTCGTGCAAGATACCGATGCAGGTCGATGGGGGCGAATTCTGTTACAACAATCAAATCGTTCTTTGTTTCGAATGACTCCAACATTTCAATGACATTTGTGTGCTTAAGATGCGCTTGTATTTCACATTCCCGACGGAGATTCTTTAGCTCGCGGCTACTGCGACCACGCTTTAAAGATTTACAATTTTTGTATATGTATTAACGCCTGTTTACCGCATAAAGGATCTTGCTACATAATTCTATTTACCTTAGATATCACCTTAATTGCCACCACTTGTGCATCCTCTTTGCGTATAGCTTTGTATACGCGCCCAAAAGAGCCCTCTCCTATCAGCGAATTTACAGTATAGCGATTCATTACAACAGCCAAACTTGTAGTCTATTGTCGATATTAATATGAATGAAATTCTTTTTTTTAGTGTTTTATTTTAAATGTAATACAATAAAGTGACTGCATAGTTAAGCAAGTAGTTTCTTATATTTTTTTTAACAAACTAATTTATTAAAGCCGACAACGATTATAAAGACAGTAAGTACACAGGATTATAAATTTTGCAAAAAGAATTATCAAAACAAAACGTATACTTGTTGCTCTACGTTACGTGAACAGCTGGCCGGCTGTTGGGTAACCAGTGTTGCCGTTATATATACATATCGTCGTTTAAAGTACAAAACCGTGTGTCGTCATTCTGCAAGACCGCGTAACTGACGTTGGCTGCCAAATTGCTCACACAAAATCTTGGCTTAATCCTTATCCATTTGTCCTGAAATATACTAGCCAGAAATGCGATTGCTTTATAAAAAACAGAACCATTTTGAAATTAGTGTTCTTCCTCTCTAGAAAATAATTTATGCACCCTCACATACGCGGTTTTGCATTTTGTTAATACGCGGTTTTGTACTTTAAACGATGATGATATGTTCCTTACGTTTTTATACATACATACTGTAAAAGAGTTAGGGCTGTTAACCTATCTATTATCATTGTTTTTGTATCTCATTACTTATTGAAAATGTTTGCGTGTATACTTATATATGTATGTGTATGTAAGTTAAAATTTTTAGCTACCATTTTTAGCCACAACGACTCTTTTTAGCTCTTTTTTAGCCTTTTTTTAAAGGAATTTGGCTACCGCTAGAAAAGTTTCGCGGCAACACTGTGGGTAATTTCAAACCAGGGTTGGCAGGTTGTTTTAGTACCTTTTGTTTTACAGTAGCTACACTGTGTCAGTATAACACTTTGTGATGACTTTTCGTACGTTTTAAATTTTACACTTTTGTATGTAAACAAAAATTATATCAGCTGTTCGTCTAACTTGCAAGTTTCTGCAAATTTTCTGTTCGCGTACTATTTTTGATATTTCTCTCTTGTGAGAGAACAGATGACATTTCGCCGGAATTTGGCAGTTGGTTGGTTTCTGCTGGAGATTTTAAACGAACGCATCTATTTTCAGCCAGTGCTGCAAAGCTTTTTCTTTCTCTGGGATTCAGTAAGTCGATGTTCAGACACGAAAACTTTTATTGCTTAAACTGCGCAGACTAAGCAGTCTCTAGTCACTAATAGTGACTTTTCGAAATGAACTCCGATTTTTAGACAATTTGGTATGCTGTCTCACGTCCCTATTCTCAAAAAAAAAGTCACTCAGTTGACAGCTGGCTCTGTGCTGGTCGCAAAAACAAATATATGGAGCAAAAGGCATTTGCTTTCTGGTTTATTTAAAATAATTTGTCCAACCACAATTGCATTAGGAAATAATCTAAAATGCTTTAATGTCATAAGCATTTATTGAAAAAAATTTGGGTTTGTTTTAAAACATTAAAATCGAAAAATTATGTAAACTAAAATTAGCCAAAAAAAATATATAAATAAAAAATTCTCTGCGCCCGAGAAGGACTTGAACTCGAGCGGCACTCTAATGCTTTGATCACTTGGGCCTTGTTACTCTAACCGCCATACCTAAACAAAAGCATTAACGCTACGTCAAATGCGGTAATAACATCAACAATAAGCATAGGTTTGTTAGTGTGTAACACGAAAATGACAGTTTTGCCGTTTTCTGCAGCCAGCTTCAATACCTAACAGCATCGCATGGGCGAATTATGTTAGTAGAGGAACAAATTCCGAAAGCAAATTCGTCGTTTCGTTTTTCGATGCGGGTATTTTTTTTCGATACTTAGTACTTGGTTCAAAAGTATCGATGCCAAAATGACTTGGTATCGAACGAAAAGTATCGAGTATGTACTTGTATAAACTCGTATCGTTTCATACCTAACCGCGACTTTTGTTTATCAATCAAGTTGGATAGTTTTATTTTTGATAAGTAAATTATCTCCGTTGTCCGTTGGTTGCAAATATGTTTGTAGACACACATAATCGCAAATCAACTAATAGAAAGAACATGGTGAAGTGACAAAGAAATCATTTTAAGTGCATCGCGACAAATAACTGTACGTACTTGCATGCAAATGTATGTAATTCTGATGTTTTCTAATCATTAATTAAACATAACAGTAGAACTGACGTGGCCGTCAATTCTAGCAATTCCTAGTACCATACGAGTGTGGGACGTTATGATCATTGCTTTTATAAGCTGAACGCTGGGTAATTCGGTGCATAGTCTGATTACGTACGGGTTTAGAAGAGCATTACCGGACGTGGAGGTTGATACTAGGTAAGTACGCAAATAATAATATAATAGATTGGCGCTTACAGTCACACAAAGTGTGAGCCAAAATCAATCACGCGCCCATCTCAAGTGCATTATATTAAAACCAGCCTCCCCCCTATAGTTAATATGCCGTACGAACACAGATATTGGTTTGGCTTTTCACTAAGGGCAGTCGTTAAAGGGGCGGTAGGCGAAGGGGGAGTGGGCGTGGCATCTCCAACCACCCTTTTTGGAGAGGACATTAACCGCCATTGACAAAAATGTCACCCCCGGCCTAGGCCCTCTATGGTTCCCTTGGGACAACTTCTAAAAATGGCAAAAATTTTCCCCCAGAAATATTTCTGTGAAGGCTAAATAATAAAAAAATTCACACAACCATAACTCATAAACAGAGATCAAAAATATCCCTCCCCAATTTGAAAGTATCGTAAAATAACCGTCAATATTTAAGAGAAAAAATAACCCGCAAAACAGAACAGATGGTTTATGCGGAGCCATTCAAATTATTAATTTTGTCTTGTGTACATATTAAAGTATGGAGTACATACATATTTAGAAGTGTGGAGTGCTTGTTTAATTAACTATTTTTCTTTATAGCGCAAATATGAGTTTATCAGACATTTCGAACAAATTCACTGAAAAAACTTTGGATGAAATTGTCCAAAAGGCAGGTGGTACCAAACACACTTCCTACAAATTTGGGCCAGGTTTCAAGAAGGGCGATTCTTATCTAAGCAAAGTGTTTCGGCTTACTGTTGACGGCGTTAATGAGAAAAATGGGTACATACACAAATTACTTATTTTAAACTTAAAACTAGTTTTTTGTCAATAACTAAAAAAAAAACAATTATCATTATTTCAGCTCGGTCCTTGAAGTCCATCTCATTTGCAAAGGTATGCCCGACAACGTCGCACGCAGAAAAGTATTTCATTCCGCCGACTTCTTCCGCAATGAAATAAACTTCTACACAAAGGTTGTGCCTGCCTGGGAGGCTTTCCAAGCCCGTCGCAAACCCACAAATCCTTTTACCGAATATCCAAGATGTTTTGCATCACATTGTGATGGCGAAAACGATTTCATTGCACTAGAAAATGTCAGTTTCCGAGGTTATGGTGCACCAAACAGACAAGATTATATTTCATTGGAAGATGCTTTGTTGACAATGCGAACATTGGGTCGATTTCACGGTATTTCTTTGGCTTTCCGCGCTTTGGAACCAGAAAACTTTGAGGCGGCAGCAAAAGGTTTGGAGGTAAGAGACGTAATTGTAAATCATTTTCTTAAAATGAAACAAAGTTACTATTCTACTCCTCTTAAAACGTTCAACTTTTCAGGAAACCTACTACAATGAAGGTAAACGTTCCTGGTACATTGGCTTTCTTGGTTTAGCCTGCAATGTAGCCAAAGATGCTATTGAAAAAACCTATCCCGGCACTAAATACGAAACTATAGCTGCTAAATTTTTACAACCTACACCGCTGTATGACGATCTTATCAAGCTCGTATCTGCAGATTGTATGTGAAAATGATTCTTTAGAATTTAGATTTGAAGTTTATTCTTTTCGTAAAAAAATTTCCAGCTCCCTTAGCTGCTATTGGACATGGCGATTGTTGGACGCCAAATTTCTTAACTCGTTACTCAAAAGACAATAGTCCAGAGGCAATTATAATAATTGATTTTCAATTGGCGCGTCGAGCTTCTATCGCTTTAGATATATCATTCTTCATATACTCTTGTACAAGTGAGGAGCTGCGGGCGAGGCACTATGAACAGCTATTGAAAGTAAAAAAAAAAAAACTTATTCGATTTCCCTTTACTCAATATCAATACATCCCTTTTATACCACTTTCAGGAATACCACCAAAGTGCTTCTGCACTCATCGCCGACTTAGGCGCTGATGTGTCAACTGTTTTGAGTTGGCAAGCATTTCAAAATGAGCTGCAACATTTTGCTCGCTTCGGTTGTGGCATGGGTATTGAGTCACTGCCCATGTCACTTATCGAAGATGATGAAGTCGCCGATTTGGATGATATGAAGGAGGATGCGGTGCTCACTGATGTTTGGAACATCAAACCGTTCAAGGAGCAAAGAAAGCGCGAACGTATTGCACAGATATTCAAACATGCCATCGATCAAAGCTATATAAAGAATTAAAGTCACAATAAGTACAATAAAATTGCCTATACATATATTTTTAGTCAAAAATTGTAACATTCATTTTTATTTTTAATATTACTATATGCGAATTTAAATAAATACATTTCTGTACATATTTTAAAACTCCTACCGTTATTCAGAAAATACTTTCTATTTAACTACATCGGCCATTAAACGTTCTGCCAGCACAAATCATATATGCCCTAGTAGACTGAATAGTTTGGGTTTGGTCGGTACACTCGAAATAATATGACTATTTATAGTAAATTTATTAAATCAAAAACTGTTTGAAAGAAAAAAATCTTATATTTTCACTTAAGTTAACTGCTTACGACTAATATTTGATTTAAATTGAATTCTTTTATATTCCTTGAAATCTATTTTGTTTTAGTTCACTTTGGCTGCGTTTCTTTATACATTCCAGATAATCCCATTTCACAGCCAGAATAAACAGAATGCGTTTGAAATATACGTTAACATATCATAAGGAACATTCTAAATAATAAGTAAACAAACAAGTTTATTCCAAACGTTCAGAATGAATACAGCCGTTATTTACTTTTATAAAATGGTTGCAAATATTGCAAATAACAATTATCAACTTCAAGTATTCACATAATAACATCTCTCAGGTGGAAATTGTGTTATCAATAACTTTTATAGTCTATGATATTTCGTCGTACGAGTATTGCCTTCAAGTACAAATGAAATAAACTATTACCACGGTAGAGTACCTTTTCCGACTGGGTTGACTCTCAGCTTCACCTACACACGGTGGGCAGGAAGCGAAGATAGGTTGCATAAAAATGTCGACAAAATCTGAAAGCAGGGTTGTATTTGTAGATATCTTAAGGTTAAGAATCCGCTTAAATTGAAATCCTATCTGCTCCTGTTTTAAAGATATCCACATTTTATATACTTCTGATAGGATATATTTGCAAAAGAGGAAGGCGTACTTCTCGATAATTAGAGCATATTTATACGAAAAGAAATCTCATAATAATAAATCTATTTCCCTTTTTTAACTCACTAAAACTGATCAAATCAATGAGAAACATTTTCATTTTTTCCTACCGAAAGAATAATTGATCGAGATTTATTGGGCGCTACCGGTATACAACTTAGATAAAACACCACAATTACCTTTTTCTGTAGCGTGAACTTTCTCATTACAAACACTTTCAATATCGCAATATATGT